TGATTTTTGACTCTTAAGCCTTGTAATTAACACCCACAGACTCAGTTTTCCTTCACTACAATTTCAGTCACGAACCTCTCTGCAAATACACCATGTTTCTTTGCAAAACCCAGTTGCAGAAGAATCCCAGAACTCCAAAGCTCCAGAAATTGGAAATATTCAGAGCCCAGATGGAAATTCCGGGTCTTTGTTGAAAAGCTATATCTGGGTCAATCCCAGCAGCCCCAGAGCTTCACAGCTGCGGCACAAGTCCTACAATTCCAGGTACGCTTCTTTGGTGAAAGTCACTGAGTATTTGAACTCTTGCACTCCGATTGAAGGTGATGTTTTCGAAGCTTTAAAAGGTTTAGGGGATAATATTTTGGAACACGACGCTGTGGTGGTTCTGAATAACATGAACAATTCGGAAAGTGCTTTTCTTGCGTTTAACTACTTTCAGCAGAGGTTGAAACTGAAACGGGAGGTGATTTTTATTGGATGTGAATGTAAATAACATGTGATGTGCACATGATATTAGATAGGAGTGTAAATGACATGTGTTGTGCACATGGGATTGGTAGCTTACTATTTAAGTCAATGTATTAGAAGAGTTTAAAGTGTGATTTTCCTTCCATGTATTGGTAGAGAATACAGAAATATAATTCTAGATCTTTGAGATTCATAGCTTCTTCTCTAAACCTTGCTTTTTCTCCTTTGTATAATCTGTGAGTTGTTCTTGATCTCTTCAGAATGTTAAGATGGTATCAAGAGCCAGCCTCCTGATTCATGTTTTTCGTTGCTCCGATTATTGCTAAGGTGATATCTTTCTTGTGAATTTCTGATTAGTTGTTGAAATTGGATTTTTTTTTTTTGGATTTTAAAGGCCGATGCCATACAAGAATGTTGTTTGAAGAATTTGTTGATGAATTGCCTCAAGGCCAATGCCAAAGGTGCTGATTGTTTCCTTGTAACTGCGTTGTGAATCTGAAGGCTAATGCCGATTATGTTGATGAATTAGTGAATTCTTGAAGTTCTTGATTGTTTAAGGCCGATGCCATATCTGAGTTTCTTTCATTCTTGATAATTTCTGAAGCATATATTGATTGCAGTTAAGTTTTCTTGAATTTTGTCATCTGGGTTTTTCTTACCGACATCAGATTGTCAATATTGTGCATTTGTTTCTATTGCTGGGTAATTGAAGATTGTTGTTGCTGATCATTATGTCGAATTATGTGAAGATTGAAAGCTTGATGGGTATGCTAACTATTAAGCTTACCGATGATAATTTCATAAAGTGGAATTTCCAGTTTTCGTCTGTTTTACGTGGCTATGATTTGTTTGATCATGTCACTGGTGAGTTTGTATGTCCTCCCAAATTTGTTCTCACTCCTGAAGTAGGTGTTACTACGGAGATTAGTGCTGCTTATAAGGTATGGATTAAGACTGATATGGCTTTGTTGAGTCTTTTAATTGCAATCTTGAGTGATGATCCTATATAACATGTTGTTGGATGCAAAACTTCTAGAGAAGCTTGGATAGCTTTGCAAGATCGTTACTTGTATGTTTCTAGTGCGAGTGTCAATCATTTGAAGGCTGAGCTTCATACTTTACAAAAAAGATGGGATATTATTGATAAGTATTTGTTACAATTGAAAAGCATTAAGGATCAATTGCAGGTTGCAGGGGAAAAGGTCTCTGATAGTGATCTTATAATTGATACTCTCACTGGTTTACCTCCTGATTATGATACAATTCGCACTGTGATTTTAGCTAGAGATACCCTAATAACTTTGAAAGAGTTTCGAGCACAGTTAATTGGTACTGAAAAGACTATTGAGTCAAGGGTACATTCTCTAGTCCAAAGCATGGTTGCTATGTATGTCAATACCAATTCTTCCACTACTACTTCTGACAATAGTGGTTCATCTCCATTCTCGGACAATTCTAGTCCCTCTCCATTCTCGGGCAATTTTGGTTCTTCTTCTCAAGGATCATCTAATTTTGGGTATGGTTCTAATGGCATTGGTTCCTCACATAGTAATGGTGGTTATCCAAGTTATCAATTAAATGGTAATACTGCCTTTCCATCTGCTGCTAATGGTAATAATGGATGGAGATTCTATAATACTAACAATTTCAGGCCAAGGGGCAATGGTGGCTATAAACCCAAGTTCAATAATTCAAGGAATGGATGGCAATCTTGGTCTGCGAATACTTCTAACAGATATGACCAGATTCCAGAGTGTCAAATTTGTTCTCGAAAGGGTCATGTTGCTATTACATGTCTCTATAGAAATGATACTAAAAATGGTCTGAATGTTCAAGAGTGTCAAATATGTGGAAAAATGGGTCATATTGCACTCAACTGTAGACATATAGCAAACTATGCTTATCAAGGCACTCAACCACCTCCTTCTTTGACTGCTAACTATGCATATCAAGGGTTTCCTTCTCCACTTGAAGTTTATGTGTATGCTTCTTCACCACAGTTCCATCACCAGTGTCATTTACGCAATATCCTTGGAGTGTATCTCCAATTCATCCTTCTAATATGTTTGCTATGAATGCACAAAGTTCTCCTGAAGTTGTAAATGGTGATTCATGGATCATTGACACCGGTGCATCTCATCATATGAGCCCTGATGTTAATGTTCTTACCCGGGTTATTCCATATGAAGGAAATGAGAAGATAATTGTTGGCAATGGTGCAAGTTTGGAAGTCAAACATATTGGCAATACTATTTTGCTTACTTAATCTCATGTTTTACATCTTAGAAATGTCTTACATGTGCCAATGCTTACTGTTAATCTTTTATCAGTTAAAAAGCTTTGCAAGGATAACCATAGCTGGTTTATTTGTGATGATGTCTAGTTCTTTGTGCAGGACAAGGCAACAGGGGCAGTCTTCCATCACGGAAAGAATAGCAAAGAAGAATTGTTCAGAATTCCAGTACATATGTTTCCTACATTGTTGAGTTCAGGTGGTGTTTCTTCTGCCTTTTTGGGACATACTATGCAAAAGTCTTTGTGGCATCAACGTTTGGGTCATCCATCTAATGAGATACTTGCTGTGATGCTTAAAGATTCTGATATAGTTTGTAGTCCAAATGAAAATGTAAAAGTCTGTTCTCATTGTATTTGTGGTAAGATGAGTCGATTACCATTTTTAGAAATGATTGATAAGATAGATATTCCATTTTACAAGATACATAGTAATGTTCGGGGACCTTCTCCGGTTCTTTATGTTGGAGGCTATAGATACTATGTTTATTTTCTAGATGAAGCCACTAGGTTTGTATAGATTTTTCCTCTCATAAATAAATCAAATGTTTCTGGTGCATTTGTTCAATTTTGTGCCTATGTTGCAAATCAATTTAATGCTAAGATAAAGGTTTTCCAATCTGATAGTGGTGGAGAGTTTTTGAATAGTTCCTTTAAGGATAATTTGGATAAGAATGGCATCCTGCATTATGTTTCTTGTCCATACACACCTCAGCAAAATGGCATGGTTGAGAAAAAGCATCGCCATTTGCTTGAAACAGCTATTACTCTTATGTCAGTTGCTCAATTGCCATACAAGTTCTAGTCTTATGCAGTTGTTCATGTTGCCTTCTTGATTAATCGAATGCCTTGTAAAGTGTTAAAATGACTTCTCCCTTTGAACAATTGTATGGCAAGAAACTTGCATTGTCTACTTTAAAGGTCTTTGGTTTAGCCATTTATCCTTACCTTTGACCTTACAATGCACACAAACTGCAATCTTGATATGTTTAATGCATCTTTCTGGGTTATTCAAATGGATATAAAGGTGCTCTTTGCTACAATCTGTTGACAGGAAAGCTTCTTATTCTAAACATGTTTTGCATGATGAGAGTTCCTTTCCTTATATGGATATGGTTTGTTCTTTTTCTTAGAGTTCAATTCCATCACCTTCTTCTATGAATATTCGACCTTTGGTGGTGCAATTACCTAGTTCTACTAACAACTCTGAGGTTTCAATTAATACTATTGAGTCTCATAGTTTATCTTCCAGTTCATTAGCTCATCAACATCGATTTGTATCTACTACTAGTACAAGTACATCATCACCTACTAGTAATGATCCAGGATCTAGAACACATGCTACTCTTTCCGGTTTCAATTCCATGTTGCCTGTCCTTCAACCAAGCTCAGGTACAAGTTCAGTGTCTTCATAGGGCATTTAAACTCGATTACGAACATGCACCATTACTTGAAAAGATTATTCTACCCTCACTGCTTTGTTTCCTAAAGTTCATTCATTAACTCTAGAAGATGATGCTCATTTTTCAGGGGGTTTTACATTCCTTGCTGATATTCATGATGCTTCTAAACCATCAAGCTTCAAACAAGCTTCACAAATTCCACAGTGGCAGTTGACAATGCAAGAGGAGTTTGATGCTCTCCAATCTTAAGGTACTTGGATTCTTGTCCCTAATTCTGGAGATAAGAATGTTATAGGAAGTACATGGGTGTAGAAGCTTAAGAGGAATAGTGATGGCTCTATTTCTCGATTTAAGGCTCGGTTAGTAGCACAAGGATTTAGCCAAGAACAAGGTCTTGATTATACAGACACGTTTAGTCCAGTGGTTAGACACACTACAATGCGATTAATTTTAGCATTAGCTGCCACATACAAATGGGATCTTCGACAATTGGATGTTAAAAATGTGTTTTTACATGGGGAATTACAAGAAGAGGTTTATATGAAACAACCTCAAGGGTTTGTTGACTCTAGGTTTCCTACTCATATGTGTAAGCTTGTAAAATCATTGTATGGTTTAAAACAAGCTCCTCGAGCTTGGAATGAAAAATTCACTGGCTATCTACAAACTGTTGGTTTTGAAGCTTCTCTATCGGATTACAGTTTATTTGTGAAGACAGATGGTACTCATGTTATTATTTTACTTCTATATGTTGATGACATAATCATCACAGGCTCTAATTCTGAGTTGGTGTAATATGTGATTACTAATCTTAGTGAGGTCTTTGATTTGAAGGATATGGGGCATATAGCTTATTTTCTTGGTATTCAAATTACTTATAAGTCTAATGGGGATTTGTTTATCAACCAAGGGAAATATGCAAAAGATCTGATCCATAAGGCTGGTATGGTTGATTGTAAAAACTGTTACACCCCTTGTAAACCTCATAATCAGGTTTTAACTAGTGATGGTTCTTTGTTGTCTGATTCTACCTTGTATCGAAGCTTACTTGGGGGTCTCCAATACCTCACTTTCACTCGTCCTAATATAGCCTTTGCGGTTAATACAATGTGTCAATACATGAGTGCTCCAACTGATGTCCACTTTGCCAGGGTAAAACGAATCTTGCGATACTTGCAAGGTACAGTTCACTGTGGATTGACATACATTTCTGGTGGATCTTTATTTGTAAATGCTTATAGTGATTCTGATTGGGTGGCTGATTTAAACACTAGACGTTCTATTACTAGTTATGTGGTGTTCTTGGGAAATAATCCAATCTCTTGGCAATCAAAGAAGCAGTCTTCTGTTTCTAGGAGTTCCATAGAAGCTGAATATCGTGCCTTAGCTCATACAACTGCATACATTGCTTGGATCAGGTTACTTCTTAAAGATTTACATGTGTTTCTGCATTCTCTTCCAGTCCTTTATTGTGACAATCAGTCTGCAATTGCTCTCAACTTAAATCCTGTCTAGCATTCCAGGATCAAACATTTAGAAACTGACTTTCATTTGGCTCGTGAAAGGGTGCAAAAAAGAGACTTGTCAGTTCAGTACTTGTGTCCTAAAGATCAAATTGCAAATATTCTCACAAAGGATTTGCACGGACCTGATTTCTTAAGGCATTGTTTCAATCTTAAGTTAGGTTACCCTACTTAAGATTGAGATGTGTATTGGATGTGAATGTAAATAACATGTGATGTGCACATGATATTAGATAGGAGTGTAAATGACATGTACTGTGCACATGGGATTGGTAGCTTACTTTTTAAATCAATGTATTAGAAAAGTTTAAAGTGTGCTTTTACTTCCATGTATTGGTAGAGAATACAGAAATATAATTGCAGATCTTTGAGATTCATAGCTTCTTCTCTAACCCTTTCTTCTTCTTCTTTGTATAATCTGTGAGTTGTTCTTGATCTCTTCAGTGTGTTAAGAATTTTGTATAATGTGACTTTGAAAGTGTGTAGGAAGGGTAAGGATATGGAGAGATCAGAGAAGCTGTTCGACGAAATACTCCAGAGAGGTGTTAACCCCGATAATGTAACCTTTTCGACTATGATTAGTTGCTTTGGGATGTGTTCTTTGCTTGATAAGGCTGTGGAGTGGTTTGAGAAGATGCCTGGTTTTGGGTGTAATCTGGATAATGTTACCTATTTGGCTATGATTGACGCCTATGGACGAGCGGGTAAGGTTGAAATGGCTTTCAGTTTGTATGATCGGGCCAGGACTGAGAAGTGGCACATTGATCCAGTGACGTTTTCTACGTTGATCAAAATTCACGAGCAATCGAGGAATTTTGATGGGTGCTTGAATGTTTATGAGGAACTGAAAGCTATAGGGGCTAAGCCAAACTTGGTTATTTATAACACTTTGTTGGATGCTATGGGAAGAGCTAGGAGGCCTTGGCAGGCCAAGAAAATTTACCGAGAGATGATCAGCAATGAGCTTTCACCAAATTGGGTAACCTATGCAAGTCTTTTAAGGGCCTATGGTAGAGCTCATTACCGTGATGATGCTCTTAATGTTTATAAAGAGATGAAGGAAAAGGGATTAGAGTTAAATGTAATTCTCTATAACACCCTTTTAGCTATGTGTGCTGATGTTGGTTACACCGACGAAGCCGTTGACATTTTTGAAGAAATGAAGAGTTCTGAAACACTGAAGCCTGACAGTTGGACATTTTCGTCCATGATTACCATATATTCCTGTAGCGTGGAAAGTCATAGAGGCAGAAACAACATTGAATGAGATGTTGGAAGCTGGTTTTTAGCCAAATATCTTTATTTTGACATCACTCATCCAATGTTAGGGTAAGGTAAAATGCACCGACGTTGTCAAGATATTCGATCAACTCCTAGAATTGGGTATAACACCAGATGAGCGCTTCTGTGATTGTCTCCTGAATGTGATGACTCAAACACCAAAGGAAGAACTTTGCAAGCTTGTGAATTGTATTGAGAGGGTTGATGAAAAACTAGGGTATGTGGTAAGACTTTTAGTGGAGAAGCAAGAAAGTAGTGAAAACTTCAAGAACGAAGCATCACAACTTGTTAACTCGATTGGTTCGGATGTAAAGAAGGCTTACTGCAATTGCCTGATTGATCTTTGTGTGAACCTCAATCTCTTGGAGAGAGCCTATGAGCTACTAGACTTGGGGATCACACTTAAGATATATATAGGCTTACAGTCAAGGTCTTAGACCCAGTAGTCTTTGTATCTCAAGGGCCTCTCTCTTGGGGCAGCTTTGACTGCATTATATGTTTGGATCAACGACCTATCTCGAGTATTGGAATCCGGTGAGGAGTTTTTGCCGTTGCTTGGAATTAATAATGGACATGGGAAACATAAGTATTAAGACAAAGGTCTGGCGAGTGTATTTGAGTTGCATTTGAAGGAATCGAATGCTCTATTCCATGAGGCCTCACACAAGGCTGGCTAGTTTTTTACAACAAAAGTTGCAATCAAGTCATGGTTAGAGTCTAGAAGTTCATCTGAGTTAGTTACTGCTTAGATGTTGGGTTGTTTAGTTTACTGACAAAGCTCATCACACTGAAAATGTAATGTGAAACTGGTATTTGCTGCTTGTCAGTTCTCTATTTATATGTTTTTGGAATTCTCTATGGGCGTAGAGAACAATTTTGTACCATTAGAATTCAACTATGAAATCTTCTTTCATTAGTCTTACGAAGTTAGTGAAGTTCTTAGAAATCTTGCATCGTACTCAGTAGTAATGCTCTTGAAAGAGAAGGGACTCTTCCCCATTTTTCCTATTGTCCCTCTCTCTCTTTCTCTCTCTTTCTCTCTCTCTAGGACTCTCCCTCTCTCTTTTTAAATTTATAATCAATATATGTAGGATAGGACATCAGATGGGAACAAGGTCAATGATGTGATTTGAATAACATCATCGGTTAGAGCATAGCTGAATGAGTTTTAAGAAATCGAATAAGTGAAAAAGTCTAGTTTCCTTTTGTATGCTATGAAAATTTTGAAAATTCCTTATGATCAAAACCATTTGGGAGTCACTCCAACATGAGAATGATAGGAGGTACAAAACAAGTGTATTGTTGTAACTTCTGTTTCCATTCAAGCTATTAGAAAGGCCAATTGGCACCATCACTATGGTCGGCCCTAAGAATTTGAAGGCTCTAGGCGAGCTTTAAAAGTGGGGCTCTAGAATTATCGAACCCCCGACTCTTTGTACATTGATATGTAGAAGAAATAATTCGCTAATACATGAAAAAAAATGTATTTCTACATCAAATACTATTAAAAATTAATACTAAAACAAGAAAGATATATAAACATTAGATAATACATGTCTCTCATTTTTAGATGCAAATGTACTAATTGAGTTTACATAATCTAAATTGTTATTAGATTAGGCTTTCTAATTATATTTGGAAAAACAATACTTGTTTGGGGAGTCTTCATCATGTTTCGAACAAGAGATGGTAACCAAATAAATGCCTTCTTTTCCACTAGCCACCAAGTTTTTTGTGTTATCTGTCTTACTTTAAAAGTATTTATATACTAATACATACATATAAAAAAATTGGGGGCCCCTAGAAGTCGGTGGAATTAGGCGATCGCCTTACCCAGCTACCCTCAAGGTCGACCCTGACCGTCACAGACTGAAGTGACCTTAGATGCTTACTTTCTGAGGCTTATTTATGCTATCATAATTCTCAAGATACAGGGCACGTTCTTTGCTTGTGATAGAATCATGTAGACATTTCTCTACTCAATGGGACCAATATATGGGACACAACAACACCATTCAAATTTTAACGGGATCACAATGTAAAGAACCTCACTCTTTACGTTTCCCTACTCAATAGGAAGAGAAATCTATTAAAAGTCAAATAGAAACGTTTACATCTCTTCTACATATGAGATAGATGAGCAGGAATATGTTAACTTTCATGTGTTATGTATAGACACCGCTGATTAATCCCTTGTACAGTGCACTAAGACAATAAAATATGATTATTGGTTGCATGGTTTTATCATTTTCTGAGCCAGGAAGCTTCTCAAAATGTCAATTACCAAAAGGGTTTTGTGCGTTAAGATTAAGGGATTTCCTAGATGGGCGTGGGTGGGTGTGTACTGTATTCGTTGCCAACATTGCTGGGTCAAGTCTGGTGACGAAAAATCTCAATTCCATTTTAAAACCACTTCTAATTTTGGGCTTCAATATTTCAGAATCGACCTAAATTCTTGCAAACTTAGGCCTGTGGTGGGTATATTGAAGCTGCTAAGTCCATTCGATTAGGGTGAGAAAACAGTGTCGGCAGAATTTCTCCCTTGCGCATGGGTTGCGTACAAGGGATTTAGCACTCATCACATCCGTTGGTTTTAAGGCCCTAGAGGTGGAAGGCTGGGATGGAAAATGATCCTCGTCGGATTCTTTTTCTAGGGATTCTAAGGATCGAGTGATCGTGACTGTTCATCATACATAGTGCGGTTCAGTTTTCGTGAGGTGCTATATATTTAATTTTAAATTTTAAATTTTGAAATGATTTCTAATTGCAGGATGTACGATGAACCGTCATAATCACGGGCTGAGATTTCATCTCCAAGACGTTATGTGTAGGCGATACGCACACCTGTGCACATCATAGGGACTAGGATTCTCTCCTCTCATTTTCCATCCACTTCCCTCTCCTCATCTCACATTCTCTATTTTGTCTTTCTTTTTATATGTAAAATTAACATAAAATGTTGACATGACTTAACCATGACCGTTCACTTCAAATAGGAGGGGAGGGAAGAGGAGGAAAAAAAAGAGGGAAGATAATCCTAGTCCCAGCATAGAGTGGCACAAAAAATTACGCAAAGTTACCTCTGCCTAATCTTTGTATTACGTATGTACTACTTGCACGACAGCGATCAAGACGAGATATCTAACAACCGATCCCGTGCATCCACAAAACAACGTAATTCAAAGACAAAAGTTGAGTTAAAAAGCATTCGATATGTCCAAAATGCAAAGCTTAGCAATATTGTATGCATGCAGAAGCAGGAAGCAGGAAGGAAAGTGAAATCAATTTTTAATGTATAAAATAAAATCAAGAGAGCCAAAGGACAACAAAACTATTATTATTAAATCATATTTCTTGATAAGCTGAGGTCACAAATATATATTACCCAATGATAACAAATTTTAATCGATCAAATAACAAGACAACGCACGTTGGTCTTGTATAAAGTAAAAAAGATTAATTGAACCGGTATACGTAGTATGTACATCATATTTCCACAATTTTGAACCCTAAATTGATCGGCACACATGCACGTTGCCTGAAGAATTTCCTATTTTTTGTGTTGCCACAATCCCAGAAGCCAGTTCGCAACCACAAAATATGAATAAGTAGCTAGCTAGGCAACATGATACACCAGCACACTACTTTTGACCATTGTTAGGGTGTGTAGTGTACTACCAAAAAGATGATTAAGTGAACGACTAATTAATTTAAATATCGTTGCACCTAATGTCCACTAATCTCATCCTCATTTCCCATGTCGGTTGTATCTAGGGATGGGCAACGATTATGGCCGGCGGGTAACCGCGATTATTTATCCATAACCGTTTATTTTCATACCCGCATAACCGTTTACCCGTTGGGTAATTGTCTAAACGGTTATACTCATACCCATAACCGTTTATAAACGGTTAACCATACCCATAACCGTGTACCCATTTAACCGTAACCGTTTAGTACCTATTTACCCATTTATCATTTTTAAACCCGTTTATCCTTTCTTTTTTACCATTTACTCATTTTTCACCCGTCTACGTGTTTTTTCAACAACTTGAAAATTAAAAAAGAAAATTTTGTCATAATTTTCTTTTTCTAACAATTAAACACCGTTATAGGTACATTCATCATACATTTCCGCATTTTAATTTTTTTAAGTCCTTATACTATTCCAATAATTGAAATAATATTTTACAGACAATATTTTTAACTGTTAGCAATGAAGATAATATTGTGAGAGTTTAGAGAGAGAGAGATTTAGTAAGAAAGTTTAGAGAGAGAGAAGAAATAAAATTGTGAATTATATTTCTGAATAATATTACACTTGGTATTATATATACCATCATTTACATATGTCCTCACTACTTATCTTAATAGCTAAGTAAAGTAAAACAAACTTATCACAACTTTACCTAACTACCCTTAACATCCCCCCTCAAACTAAGCTGAGGTAGCCGAAGTGAGAGTTTGTCACGGAGAAAAAGAAACCGATCCTTGGATAAAGCCTTAGTACATATGTCGGCAGTTTGATCCTGTGTACAGACAAAATGCACAGTGATGGAGTTGGCCAAAACTTTCTCACGAATAAAGTGATAATCAATCTCCACATGCTTGGTTCGAGCATGAAATGGAGGATTCTTAGCAAGAGAAAGAGCAGATATGTTATCACACCAAAGTTTAGGAGGGCACGGAAGCAGGAGACCAATATCAACTAACAGCTTGCAGATCCAAGTTAACTCAGCAGCAGTATTAGCTAAAGAACGATATTCCGCTTCAGTGGAGGATCGAGCAACAGTGGGTTGCTTCTTGGCACTCCAACTAATAAGAGAATCAACCAGAAAAATACAAAAACCACCTGTGGAACGCCGATCAATAGTGCAACCTGCCCAATCGGCATCGGAGAAACTATTAATACTGAGGGGTGCAGAGCATTTGGGAAACCAAAGACCAAGAGTAATCGTGCCCTTCAAGTATCTGAGAATACGCTTGACAACCTGAAGATGT